AGCAGTCTTCCCCAGGGATGAGCCCCGTAATTTGTTATTCAATATGAAATGGTCATCCCTAAAACCATATACATACTGAGCAACACTAAATGGGCTCAGCAGGTTATGTTTATGTGTGTGTGTGTGTGTGTGTGTGTGTGTGTGTGTGTGTGTGTGTGTGTGTATTTATGTGTAGCAATACTAATCACAGAAGAGGTCAGGAATTTGAAATGGAGTTGGGGGAGATGGGGAGAAGTGGGAGGCAGAAAGAGAGGGGAGAAATCATGTAGACACAGTACCAGTGTATGAAATTCTCAAAAAAAAAAAAAAAAAGAGAAACTGTCTATCAATAATGAATGACTAAAATAAAAACATTAACACTGGGATATCATGAACTCCAAAAAAAAAAAAAAACTGAATAGAGCTACATCAGTTTATTAGAGTTGATTTCTTTGAAATATGGTTGAATTTTTTAAGTTACAGGAGACTATGCAGACTACCATCCCATTTTTGATAAAGCGACAATAAAAATCCCTCTAATATTTGCACACAGTTTATTCTTGTCAACCATGATTTGATCCTGGGGAAACATACAAAGGGCTTGACAGAAGAATGTTAATGTGGTTGGGGAAGCTGGTGGGACAGGCAGACATGTGTATAATGTGGAGAGACCAGAAACCAAACCCATTCTCTGACAAAATAGTAAGAATAGCAATGCTTATGAAAGGTGGGGGCCTTTGGGGTTGGGCCTCCTCACCCTGCCTGCACAATGCTTGGATCCCAGAACACACACACCCCACCCCCTCCTCATCACCCCTGGTTTTCTTCTTGGTTCCAGAAATGGAATCAAAGAACTCTGGGCAGGGCGGGGAGAGTCTCAGAGGCCACTGCCTTCAGTGGGGAGCCCCGGCCTCGGGGTCAGAAGCTCAGCTTCGGCTCTCTGAAGGTGTTTAGTAAGTGTGAGGGGGTATCATTGAGGGTCTCTCAGTTTATAGCCTCCATCTCAGCCACCTCAGGCCCTCAGAGAGGATTCCCCTGGGTCCCACCCTGTCCCAGCTCTATCTCCCTGACTCTCCTCAAAGCTCTCATCACTATTTGTCTTTGTTTTTAATATGTGTGTGTGTGTGTGTGTGTGTGTGTATATATATATATATATATATATATATATATATATATATATATATAGAGAGAGAGAGAGAGAGAGAGAGAGAGAGAATTTATTTCCTTAATGGGAAGGGCCTAGGACATGTCGGTGCTTCCGGTGATTTATCGCCCACTTGGTCTCCTTTTCTTTGATTCACACTTTTATTTAATCCTTCTTTTGTTCTCGAATTCCCTCTGAAAGGACACACGACACACTGCTGGGGGTCATCGGGTTTTCACTATCTGTGTCTTCTACTTTGTATGGGGTCTTAGGGGGAGAAGGGATGGACTTGGAACCAAAATCCTGGAAAGGAATCCCCAACTTGGAAACATGGAGATGGGCACATTGGAAGCTCTCCAGCTGAGAAGAGAAGGTTCCAGAATGCTGGGCGATGCTGAAGGACCCAGGAGCTCAAGGGGGAGATCCCGAAGCGCTCTGGCTCTCCTGCAGCCAGGTTGAGCTGGAGCTTGGCTCTCCCTTGGACCTCTCCACTTCACGCTGAAATCCTGCTGTCCCTGTAGGCAGCTCAGATGCCTTCCAAGCCCACTCACTCCTCCAGCTGTGAGGCCTGTGACCAGCTGCAAACAAACTCGCAGAGCACAAAACCTCCCTCACCACTGACAGCTCTCTGTCTCTGTCTCTGTCGGCCTGTGACCAGCTGCAAACAAACTCGCAGAGCACAAAACCTCCCTCACCACTGACAGCTTCCTGGCTTGAGCTACAGCCTGAGTCTCCCCTCCTCCCATAGCAGAGGTTTTATCTAACTGTCCCCAGGTTTCCCACAGACCTAGGACCCAGAACCTTGGGGATGCTCAAGCACTCCGGCATTAAGCGTGTTTATGAGCCCATTATACAGATGGAGAAATGGAGACACAACAGTGCAATTTGCCCTCACTTCTGGAGCAAAGGTGGCCCTAAGAGCAAGAGTGGACCCAAACATTGTTTGATTTCACAGACAGAGCTCTCTCCAGGCCAGCCTGCTGGGAGGTTGGAGGTGGGAGTGGAGTGGAATCGGGTGGGAGCTGGGTCCTGAGAACCAGCTGGCTGGAGAGACTTGAAGTTGGGAGGGTCAAGTTCAGGGAAAGCACAGCTGAGGAGGAGCCAATCTGTTTATTATGCTTGGTCTGTACTCCAAACAGAGCTGATGGATGGAGCCACTCCAGCTCCTATAAACAGCTCGCCCCCCCCTTCCCTCTTGCCCTCCTGTTCTCAGCATGACTGTTTCTAGGGAGACAGAAGTGGTGGTGGTGGTGGGAGACAGGATGAGAAGATGGGGAGGACCGAGATAAGACAGAATCCTCGGGGCGAGGGGGGACCGAGGACAGCAGAAAGCAGCCAGAGAGCACGCTTAAGTGCTCTTGCTTCCCCTGGACAGCCACGCCCTGCTGCCCTCTGCCCTCTCTGGATCCCCTGGGTCTGTCTGAAGGCTGGGTTTTGAGCCCAAGAGTTCATAAGTCCTGGAGGGCAGGGTTCATTAATTCGGGAAATCTTTTCTGAGCTCACAGTCCCAGGGGACAAACAGGGGACTCTGGGTAGGAATTTTTTTTTCCCCAGGGCTCTTGATCTGATGGTGGACCAGATAGATATCCAATGCTAGAGTCCTGGGGTTCCATGGGGATACAGGCAGCAGGAGGAAGCGATCCAGGCCGTCTCCACAGAGGAGGTGGTCCAGTCAGACAGCGGTGGCAGGAGTGTGTGGGTGTGTTGGGGTGGGTGGGACGTGCCCGGTAGGGAAGGAGAGAGCCTGGGCCTGTGAGGGTCAGATGCTGGAGCAGCTGCCAAAGGTCGAGGTCATCGGCTCATTGCTGGGCGTGGTCGCACACACCTGTCACCCCAGTTCGTGAGAGGAGAAGTCAGGATGATGAGGCGCTCAAGGCCCTTCTCAGCTGCATAGTGGCCAACCTGGACCACAGGATGCCATGACTCAAAAAACCAAAGAACAAGAATGAGGCGAGACGGCTCACCGGGCAGAAGCATCGGCTGCCACGCCTGAGAGTCTGCGTTCCAGCCCCGATATTTACAGTGGTGGAAGGAGAGAACCGGTTCCCACAAGTCGTACTCTGATCTCCGTGCACGTGGGCACGGATGCAATTAAATAAAACATAACAAAAAGAAGACAAAACAACAAGAAAAAACTCACTGGCTTCTGAGAGGGATGAACCTGGGTTTGGGTCTCAGCCCTAGACTATCAAGATACAACAGAAATCTCTCCAAACGCTGTAGGAATAAGGCCCGTCAACTCCTCAGCTTGGACTTAGGAATGGTCACAAATGGTGGGGGACAGCAGAGAGGAGCTGCCAGCGCGGCAGATGACTCCCACCAGGGTCATCGTGCAGGCTGTCTGGAGGGCAGGGTGTTTGTATCGGGCAGCTGGCCAGGCCCCTGGGTCTGGTGGCCTGAGATGCTGAGGCAGCTGGGGGTGGGGGGCACAGGGTCCCTTAAGGAGTGGGACACCCTAAGAGCTTACTGAACTAGATGAGTTCAGCATGACACTCCAGGTGGCCTGTGACACAGAGCAGGAGGGGCCCCCTCTCCTAGAACTGGCTGAAAGCTCAGTAAACCGGATGTTCTGATGACCTAGTTGGCAGCTGTCCACGTTGCACTGAAAACAGGAATTTCTGCCCTACTGGGGGTCTTGGCCAGGTGAATAGGCTCCCCTGTTTGCCAGGAAAGGGGGTCAGGGGCCTGGTGGGATCCTGTTGGAGGGGAGGCCCACAGGTCCTGGGCTGAGCCCAGCCCATGCAATGGCCTGGTCCAACTCTGCTTTCACCGAGCCTCTACTGTGTGCCTTCCAAGCCCAGCACTGACCCTTGAAACAGCAAGTTCAATGCTCCCCCAGGAGTGGGAGGGCGGGGAGCCGGAATTCGGGTGAGAGGCTGGAGGCAGAGAAGTTATTTGAAGGAATCTTTGGGAGAAGGCAAAGCTGTCCATCCAGGGAGGGCCCAGGGCCACTTCAGCTGTGGAGATGCCTCCAGAGTGCTTAGAGGGCAGGGAAAGGCTGGGCTGGAAGAGAGGCAGGCGGAAAGGGAGGCTGCTACCCGCAGAGGCCAGCGCCTGGGTGGTGGTGTACTGAGCTGGGCCACGAGAGACCAGCTAAAGGGCTGCTGTGAGCCAAGCAGAAGGACCAAGACAGGCATCGCTGCCCACCTCCAGAGTCTGTCCCTGCTTCTCACTCCAGTCTCTCTCAGTGAGGAGGCAGCTCCTCTTTCCATCAATTCTCTCTCTCTCTCTCTCTTTCTCTCTCTCTCTCTGTCTGTCTCTCTCTGTCTCTGTCTCTGTCTCTGTCTCTGTCTCTGTCTCTGTCTCTCTCAAGTTCAATCTGAATCTTGACTTCTTACTAAATTCTCCCTGGGTTCTCTAGCCCCCTAGGAGACACGTGACCCTCTGGCTGGGGATGCCTCTGGATGCCTCCATGGGAGCAGTTGGGAGGAGGGGAGGAGGGGAGGAGGGGAGGGGATCTGCCGCGGAGAGCCGGAGAAGGGAGGATGGGAGAGCAGTACAAGGATTTTTCACTGGGTTTAAGATGGGGAGGGCGAGCCTTTCTCTGTGCCCGCCATTTCCCACCTTAAAACAAAAGCAGGGGGCCCGACACATCACTGCAGACGGGTGGGAAGGGGCCACAGCCACCAGTTTCTGAGGGTTGGGGTGGGGCAGAGGTGATGCGGGGTGTGACGAGGCTACGAAAGAGGCTGAGGCCCAAAGCCCAGGATGGGGAGGCTGAGGCCCAAAGCCCAGGATGGGGCTGGCTAACGGCTTCCGTGTCCCCTGAGGTGCCTCATGAGGAGCGAAAGCCCCGGATGGGAGAAGAAAGGGTCAGGATTCCAGTGCATGCAACGGTATGGGGTAACCCAAAGTAAGCAGGCTGGCAGGCCGCAGCTTCTCCAAAATTATACTTTAATACATTCAGTGAGTTATACAAAGAGCTGGTCCCAGGGCCCGGCAGTGGCCAGCTGGGAGGGGACAGCAGCATGATATAGTGTTTTCAGAGCTCTGGCACAGCGGCCACGGGGTGGCCTCCGGGCCGAGACAGAGTGCTGTGTGCAGTAGCACCTAGACCCTACTAGCTGACCCGGTGAGGGTTCTAGCCCCGGATCTGCCCATTGGTTCTCTGAGCCTTTAACCTACTCTGGGCCCCAGTTTCCTCATCTGCAAAACTGGGCAGAGTGAATGGTGGTTTTGTCTCCTCGTTCGCTACCGCGTGTCCTGGCAGACCAGGGGCCAGGCACAGGGGCGCTGACGAAGCAGGTTCTGTGACTGGGCCCAGGGCTCCCCTTTCTCCCTGAAGCCCACGGGTCTGGAGAATGAGTGGAGAGACTGGGGGGGGGGGTGTCTTCCTTCTTGTTTTCCTGGTGAGGACAGGCGTGAGAGCTGGCACTGTCTTGTGCTGAGACTGCCTGCCGAGAGCATGAAGCCGCACAGGCGACGACGCTGCTGAGCACCCAGCTCCGGGCCTTGAGCACGAAAAGCAAACAGTCCACCACGGTGCAACAGTCCAGCTGGTGTTCTCCCATTTCCCCCACGGTCTCTGCCATTGGCTGGTGTGACCCTGAGCAAGCCCCTCCACCTGGCTTTCCTTATTTGATCAATGGGGAAAATGACACTCCATGGAGTCAAACTCCCAGCTCCGCTTCATGGAGGAAGGATGAGCCTGTGGGAGCAAAATGAGAGAGGGAGAATTCATACTGGTCTGCAAATGAGTGAGGGGCACCGAGGCAGACGCAGAGGGTCTGTGGGTGCCTGTCTGGGAGGAGGGAGTGGGTGCGTGCAGCAAGGATGCTTGGAGCCTGGTTAGGGTAGGACCACTTCCTGTCCACTGGACAGCCTGCCCTGCCCCGGCAAGGCTTAGGTCCTGGAGACGGGAGGACACGGGTTTGACTCATTTTTGGCTTTGGCATCTCTCTCAGGCCTGAGGCTCTCAGAGGAAATGTAAGGAACCTTCTTTTCTTCTTGTGTATAACACAGATAACATAGAAACCTCTAAGAGTTGGCTTGGATTCACCTCTGCAGCTGCTAAGCCGAGTGCAAAACAAAACCAGATAGCCGAGGCTCTCCCTCTTGGCTCAAAAGCTAGGGTGGGGCCGGGAGGGAAGGAGGCCCGAGCAGGGGGCTGGCAATCCAGGCAGCACTGGGGTCAGTGTGTGTAACAGGAGAGTTCACTGAGGGGGAAGGGCCTGTCCAGGGCAGGACACAGACTGTCCTGGGCCTGGCTGGAAGTCCAAGTGACCACACTTTACGCTGGCTCAGCCGGAACTTCAGAATCTGGCCTAGGAGACCAGATTCAAGACCTTTGGGGGAGATCCTGGCTCTCTCTTCTGGTCACAAGTTCTTCGTTTCCAGAGAGGCTGAAAGTCATTATCAGCAGATGCGACAGAGCTCTGTGTGGGAACGGCTCAGACAAATCATCTCTCAGGCTTTGCCCTCCCTTGCCCAAACACAGCCAGCCAGGGTGGACTCTCCATGACCAGCTGAGGACTGCGGGTCTGGGGGCCCAGGGCCTCCCCACCTCAAGCCTATCACACTCCATGGTCGCTGGTTCTGTGACAGCCTCTCTTGCCAGAGGGCAGGCACATGTTTCATTTACTAGTGCCCAGAGAGGGGTCTGGCCTGAAATAGATGCTCAGTGGAGATCTGTTGGTATCCTCTGTTCAGTACACTGCCCCACTTTGGGGTCCACAACTGGATCACATGTGCAGCTCAGAAAGCAACTACCTGTCCATGTGGCAGGATGCAGGATGCTGAACCCCTGGCCACTGTGTAACCTGAGCTAGACCCCAGCTTCTCTGCCCCTCTGGCTTCCACACTGAGTGGGAAGAGGATCCCCTAGGCTTTGTATTGTTGGCTGAACTTCTGCCTACGGAGGAAGCAGCAGGTGGCCAGCGTGGTGAGGATGATGGCAGAGGCCAGTGTGAAGGTGAGGATGATGATGAGGTTGATGTTCTTGAGCCCTCCCTTCTCACAATCCTCTGGACGCACGTGGCTCAGGGACACCTCCTCCTGAGAGCCGAAGCGGCAGATCAGGTCCTGAGTAGCGTCCACAGCCACTCGGCCCTGGTGCAACTGGGCCGCCAGCCAGCCATTGCCGCAGCAGCTGAGTGGATTTCCTTGCAAGTACAGGCGCCGGAGGCTAGTCTCCAGGCCACCCATGGCATTGCCTGGCAAGAGGCTGAAGCTGTTGTTCCGCAGATCCAGCACCTCCAGGGACACAGCCTGTGTCCAGGCAGGCAGGTGGCTGAGGCGGTTCTCGGAAAGGTTAAGGAGCTTGAGACGGCGGAAGCATGGCAAGTCCACGTTCAAGACCATCAGCCCATTGCCTTGAAGTTTCAGTACCTCCAAGGATGCCTCCAGGCCTACCAAGGCTCCTGTGGCCACCTCCAGACCAGGATTGTCAGAGAGGTCCAGTTCAGTAAGCGGGGTGTGGAGGAAGCTGCCTGCCCTGAGCATCTCCATCGAGTTCCCTGCCATGTTCAGAACATGGAGGGTGGGGATCCCAGAGAAGTCCACACAGCCTGGTGGACCTGGCTCTGCTGGCCCCCCACAGGGACTGATCTGGTTTCCCCATAGGTTGAGGCTCTGCAGGCTAGCCAAGCTGGCAAAGGTGTAGGGTGGCAGTTCTTGCAGGGCATTGTCCTGCAGGAGCAATGTCTTCAGGGACCCCAGGACTTTGGTGCCCAGTTCCAATGCTTCCAGCGCATTGTGGCTCAAGTCCAAAAGCACCAGGCAGGGAAGGGAGCCCACACGCCGGGCCTCGAAGGATTGCAGGCAGTTTCGGCTGAGGTTGAGGAAGCGCAGGGAGGTCAGAGGTTCAAGAAAGCTGGCAGGGACCTGCTTAATCTCATTGTAACTCAAATCCAGGCTCAGGAGCTGGGAGAGGGGATTGGTGCTGGCGTTCCGGCTGGGGTTGGACAGTAGAGAGGCTGACCAGCCCTCCGAGGGTGCATGGAGGTCCTCACTGTCCTGGGGCACCCCCGCAGGCAGCCGGATGAGGTTGTTGGATACGTTCAGGTAGATGAGTCTTGGGAATGCGGCCAGGTCAGGGAAGTGCAGCAGCTTGTTCTCCCGGAGGTCGAGCCAGGCCAGCTGGAACTGGACCTGGGGTTCTGGGGCCGTCTGGAAGGCCTCAATGCTGTTGCAGCTCAGGTCAAGTACCTGCAGCTGCTGGAGGCTGAAGTCCGAGATGCAGGTGAGGGAGTTCCTGGAGAGGTTGAGGTGGGTCAGGTGGGGCAGGGTCTCGAAGGCACCATCCTCAATGTCCATCAGTATGTTGCTGTGGAGGTCCAGCTGCTCCAGCGCCGGCATGCCCCAGAAGGTGTGGCGTGCCAGGCGAGTGAGGCTATTCTCGGCCAGTGAGAGAGTATGCAGGCTCGGGGCTTCACCCAACAGCTGCTCCACCAGGCTGCCGTACAGGCTGTTCCCAGACAGGTCCAGTGAGGCCACAAGGGGCAGGCGGCCCAGACCACCACTGTTCCGTGCCATGCCCACGGCGAGCCGGTTGTGGGCTAGGTTGAGATGTTCCAAGTGGGGCAGGGCCTGGAAGACTCCCGGCTGGAGGAAGCTGATCTCGTTGACACTTAAGTCCAGGTGACGAAGTGCTGTGTAGGAGCCCAATGGGGAGGCCAGGATGCTCTGCAGCCTGTTCCTAGACAAGTAGAGAGCTCGGATGTCCAACGGGAGCACTGAGGGGACCTGAAGAAGGCCAAGGCCTTGGCACAAGGCCTCCTTGTTCACCTAGAGAGAGCAAGGGTGGCAGAGAAGCTGGCATTAATAGGGACAAGACAGGAGAACAGGACAGGGTTCTCTAGGAAAGATGACTAACTCTCCCCAAGCTTGGGGAAGCGTGGTAGTCTGAATGTAATTGGCCCCCATAAGCATACAGGGGGTGACGCTATTAGAGGGTGTAGCTTTGTTGGAGGAAGTGTGTCACTGAGGAGGTGGGCTTTGAGGTCTCATATGCTCAAGTCATGCCCAGTGTCTCAGACCACTTCCTGTTGTCTTTGAGTCAAGATGTAAGAACTCCTCAGCTCCTTCTCCAGCACCACGCCTCTTGTATACTGCCTTGCTGTCCACCATAATGACAATAGACTGAAACTCTGAACTGTAAGCAAGCCACCCCAATTAAATGTTTTCCTTTATAAGAGTTTCCATGGTCATGGTGTCTCTCCACAGCAATGGAAACCCTAAGAAAGACAGGGGGCTTCCCCACAGACTCCCAGGATGCTAGAGCCTTTCCTCACCCAGCTGATGACCCCATGCTTCTCTCTGGCCCTGCCTCTGGCAGCCTGGTGGGTGCTGGGCAGGAGGGAGGCAATAGACAGAGAAATAGTAGACAGATCTAAGAATAAATATGTGCTGATTATTGTCCTGTTACAAGGAAAACTAAGCTATGCTTCACTCAGAGTGATCCAGAGCCAAGGAGCAACATGGCCACAGCTTCCAGGTCCACATCTTGGTCCTTGCCACATCCCAGATAAAGTCCCAGCATTAGGCTGGGAGCTTCATTGGGAAAAGATGTTTGCAACAGGGCAAGCAGCAGTGTGTCCTGCCAGCCACTTTGACTTGGTCTGCCCAGCCTCAGATCTCATTCCTTTTGTGACGTGGGGTAGGCTCTGGACACAATCCTTTCTGTAGCTGCTATCTACCCCCATACTGGTGGCCCACTCCTGGTGGCCTGGCCCCAGTATGAGGCCCTAAAGGTAGTAGGAGTGAGGGGATTGAGCAGGGGAAGGGATGACAATTTAACTGAGTGACCACTAGCAAGTCACATCAACACTCCAGTTTCTTACCCAAAAATTAACTTGTCATTCCCTACACCTACTTTATATATCAGGACTTTTAGACTGGTGACCCTGTCAGATCAACAACAGCCCCAGTATAGGGGTAATCTGATGTAATTACATATTTTTATCAAAGTCCAGGTCGGAGAGGGTAAAGGAGACTTCAGGATCACCCAGATGGTATAGAGGGAGCTGGGATTTGAACATGGGTCTTTCAGCAACTCTTGTCCTTCCATAAAACATGTCTTTAAGGGTCATATGCAAATGCACATCTCCATTTGGTCATCCCCAGGTCCCCCAGTCCTCCTCAGCAAATAGTGTGACATCTACAACCAGCCAGCTTAGTTTTGCCCCTGCCCCCAGCCTGTCTCCATCGACCCCCCCAGCACCACTGAACCACCCACCTGTAAAATGCCCAGAGACTGCTCAAAACCCACTTTGCCTATGGTGCCCTTGGCCTTAACATACAGCAGAATCCATCAAGACTGTCTGTGGCTCTGCCCAACTTGTCCGCTCACCTCAATCCAGTTTGCATGCAGTGATCATGCCTTGCCCCCACTCCCATACTCTTCCACGCCCATCTCTGGACACGTGTGTATCAGACCTGCATGAGACTTCCCCACCAAGAACCCAACACCTCTTCCACCAAGGCCCTCCCTAACTTTCCTTCCTACTATGGCCTGGCGCCCCTGAACAAAGACCGAGTGGGGACCCGCAGTCAGTGAGCTTGGAGCATGATTGACATGGATGTCTTGGGCCTGGCCCACAGAAAGTGCTCTGGGAGTGTCTTTTATGAATGAGTTGCAGACATCTGTGCTTAAGGCAAGGGCTGAGGCCTTGATCCAATCAATGCCGGAAGGAAAAGAGCTAATCTGGATATTCAGATTAAAGCCAGAGGCCAGCCCACCTGCTATCCATATGCTGAAGTCAAGGCCTGCCCTGGCAATGACTTGCCTGGGCCACAGGAACCCAGTAGCTAAAGTAGTGAGGAAGAAACACAAGCCTGCCATCCCTGCCTGGCCTCGCTCTGAGGCTCCTCCTGAGGACCCCAAGGTGAGGGGCAAGGCAGGACACTGTCTGGCCATGGGCACTGGTGTGGATGCCTTCTGCATAACGTACCTTGAATAGCCCTATACCTCCAGGAAAAGCTGCCAACTGAGGCTCTAGGAGACCCAACAACACCCCCCCACTGCCACCCACAGAAATTAGATACCTACTTGCCACCTAGTGCTCAGGACCACCCTGCTGCAGGCAGCAGCAAGATGACCCACGATGCTAGCATGGTTTCCTTTTTGTGTAAGCTGAGCCTTCAGCACCCAGGGACCCAGGCTGGCCGGCCCTATTTACCCTTCATTTGCAATGCACAAGCCACACACCCCCATGCAAACCCACACCCATGTCCCCTCCCCTCTGGATGAGCAAAAGCTCTCCAGGACACCAGTTCCAGAGGAACCATGACAGGAGCCGGCAGAGCCTGAGACTGTCTATCAGATACTGCAGGGGTCCAGGGAAGCACCTGGTACCCACATCTCCAATCCAGCCCAGACTTCAGAAGGAGCGTGAGGGCAGGAGGTTCCCTCAGCTCTATCTCTCCCCTCTCTCCCCTGAACTCCAAGCTCCGACTGACTGCCAGGAGTCTCTGGTGCCGAGATGATAGAGGATGGGCGTCGGCGATGGTTCAGCATCCCTCCTCACTCTGAGGTGTCAGCCACTGCTCTGCTTTCTTCCTCATGGGGGAAAGGCCATGCCATCCAACTCCTTCCACACAGAGAAGCCTGAGTAAGGATGGCACTGGCAGGAAGCAGCATGGGGGAGCTGGCTGGGTTCGGTCCTGACTCGGTCCCTTCCATCCTTGGGGCCCTCGGGGTCATGTGTCTTTTCCTGATGGTTCAGAAAGTCCTTTCCTGTCTGTCATATTCGGCTTCTCGGGGCGCCCTTGCCCTTTGCCCTCTGTCTGCTGGGGCCAAAGCCCTTCTTCACCTTGTAGGGCCTCAGTCCTCCCAGTCTCTGGGCATGTGGTGATGTCCGAAGCCTTTCCTCCCGTTATTCTGGGTTATGAGATGCTCAGGAGGCCTCCAAGGAAGAAGTGGGGGCCACAGCAGAGCACACAGACCCCAGGACAGGGCTGCTGGCAGGTGGCTGCTAGTGTTCCTGTCCTCTTTAAGCAGCTGTCCCTTCTTGGGGGGGGGGCGCTGTCCCGTCCCTAACCCTGCTTCACAAGTGTCCTAAAGCAGTGGTCCTCAACCTTCCTAATGCTGTGACCCTTTAATACAGCCCCTCATGCTGTGGTGACCCCCCAACCATAATATTATTTTTTGTTGCTACTTCATAACTGTAATTTTATGACCATTATGAATCATAATTAAATATCCAGTATGTGACCCCTGTGGGGGTCATGACCCACAGGTTGAGAAGCACTGACCTAAAGGGTCGTTCCCCTGCACCCCACAGGGTCACTACATTTAGCCTCTGCCTGCCTTGGAATAGGAAAAGAACACAAGTCAAGCCTGTTCTCTGTCCCCAAGGAGCTCTTGGTCTGCCAGGTAAGATAGCCTTGGGCTGAAGGAGCCAGTCAGCAATGTCAGGGGGAGGCTTCCTGGACAAGGTGGCACTGGACCTGGCTGTAATGAGTGAGGGGCATTCTAGCAGGCAGGCCAAGTCCAGGAGCCCAGCCGGGAGGGGGTCAGTGCCCAGGAGGATCAGTGCAGAGGAGCCTTTCCCAGCTTGCCTCTTTCCCAGCTCCTTTCCCGAAGTAGCTCCCACAAGACCCATTGCCTATAACAGGGGCAGCTTGGGGAATAGAGAGCCAGTGGGTCCCACTGTCCCTAGCTGAATGATCTTGGTTAGGTCACCTAGCCTCCCCAAACCTCAGTTTTCCTTCTATAAAAAGAGAACAAGACTGTTGGGTAAGCACGTTTCTGAACAGTCTAGTGTATGCTCAACAAATACCAAGGTACAACGCTAACCTTTTCTGGGTCCCCTAACCTTTGCTCCTGTGCTGGGCTGTGGGACACCCCCTCCCAGCAAGGATGGGACAGGCACCCCTTACTCTGCCTGCGAGGCGTCTTACCGTCCTACAGGGCACTTGTTCTCGGTGCTGAGAGATAGCCAGGCCCGGTGTCAGCATGGCCAGGAGGAGCAGGATCTGGTGGCTCATGGCTCTGCCTAGGGTGTAGAGGAAAGAGGAATTGTGAGGCCGCCGCTCCCTGCACTGCCGGCAGCACCCGCTTGCCCTCCCCCAGGACTCTGGGCCAGAACTGAAAGCAGGAGGCATGTGGGCTCCACCACTCAGGGAAGCTGAAAGGAGTGGTGTCTTAGGACTTCAGAGGCCACCGAGGTAGGAGGCCAGGGATTGCGACTCTGAGGCCAAGCTTAGTCATTACTCAGGGGAAGCAAGACTTTTAAAGCAAAGCATGACCTGTCTGCTTTGGGTTTACCTAAGGCCCGCCCAAGGCCATTGCCATAGCTCTGGGGTAAAGACCCTTGTCATCAAGCCTAATGGCTTGATCTTGATCTTGGGACCCATATGGTGGAAGGAGAAAACTGACTCCTGGACTTCACTACCCTTTCTACATACACCCTCTCCCTTCAAATCAACAAAATGTAATTTTTTAAAAAATTAGGGGTGCTAAAATTAGGGGTACTCAGGAGGCAAAGGGACCCTAGGGCAAGGTTGGCTGGAGGGAGACAGGCCTCAAACCCCATTCCCCTCAGGCCCCAGGCAGCCCCCATCCCAGGTCCACGGGCCCCACATGGAATGTCTCACTCTCCTTCATCTTGACATTTTTCTTTTGGTTGGAATTCTCTTGTCATTGTTCGGGGCTGGCCAGGGCACCGACAGGAAGCCCCACCCCAGCAGGCTGCCAGCCCTCTACTTTCACTGAAGGCGATGGCCGCCCAAGGCCACGGGTCCATTGCAGTGTAAGCAGCCAGGGTGGGGGCCCGTGAGGACCCCAGAGGCCTTTAGCAGGGGTGAATCCCTGTGGACTGGAGCCGTGTGCCGAGGAGACAGATCGGCTTGTTCACTTAATTAATTAACGAATGAATGAATCCAGTTACTCCCGTACTGAATGTCATCTCACATCCAGCTCTGTGCTGGGAAATAGCGATGAGACAGTGGGGCCAAAGAGATCCCAGCCTGGACGCCGAGTGCTCACAAGGAGGACCACAGGAGTCAGAGCCGAAACACCCGGCAGCTCCCTCCTCTCCACTAGGTGCCTTCGGTGTGATCTTACACGGGCCACACTATCTCCCTGACCTTGTTTCCGGAGGTAAATGACCACCATGCCAAGTTTGGCTGAGGATAAATGAGGACATCTTCTAAGAAAATGTCACCGCATATCACCCCTCCATGATCATGCCTGACAATTACTAACTCTTTGAATCCTCACGAGGACTCAGTTCCACTTTCTTACACTTCTCATTTTATAGAAGGGGGGAAAAAACAAACAAATGCAAAACCCGAACCAAACCCAAACCAGGCTCAGAGAGGTTAAGCAACACACACACACACACACACACACACACACACACACACACACACACACACAGCTAAGACGACACAGCGAGGTGGCAGGCTGAGACTCGTGGGTCTGGACCCTTCTGCAGTTGAAGGTCTCCCTCAGCGGGTGCTCAGTAAAGACTAAGAGCTGCCACTCTGAAGGTGGCCTTGGGACAGACAGGTCATCACCTTTGCCGGCTCTTTTGACGGTCAGAGCCCACTGGCAATGAATCTCAACGCAGTGGCTGCTTTGCTGTTATCTTGCTGAGACATGCAGCAGCAGCAGCAGCAGCAGCAGCAGCAGCAGCAGCAGCAGCAGCAGCAGCGCAGCGGCCAGTGTGGCCCTTTCAACTCTCCTTCCTGGCTCCCCCAGAGCCCAACCCTGCCCCACAGCACTCTCCTCTCACTGCAGGCTGTGAGTTCACAGGAAATTTTGTTCTTTGGGTTCAAAAGCAGTCCCCACCTGCTTGACATTAGCATACTCAGAGCTAAATGAAAACCCCTGGCCTTCATCTCCGGGGCCCTGGGGGAGCCGGCCCTCTCTGGGCCAGCGCTTGTCTCCCACCTGGCTTCTCATCATCCCCCCCACTCTGGGTCCTGAACACATGTATTTCCTTTGGCCCTCTGGGTACCTTTCATTGCCTGAGCCTTCCCTTTCTTTGCTGCCCCTGCGGCTGAATACCTCCCCACCTCGTGGAGCGTGGCTTGGATGCCATGTCCTCCAGGAAGCCTTTTCTGGTTCCCCATGGCTGGTCTGTGTTCTTCAGAGTCTCACAGTTGCTGAGCCTTGGGTGGCCCGGGGTGGAACACAGAGCGCACCCCACTACATTTCCCCACCCCTTGAAAGGAAAGTACCCCCGGGGACGACCTCATGACACGGGGCAGCCAGATGGCACACCTGCGTCTGAGTCTCCGATGCGGAATGCAGGTGAGGGGAGGCCCCCCACCTCCCTCTGTCTCCTTGCCCCTTTACTTCCCTGTCCGTCCAGGTTCAAAGCTGCCCACCTTCACTGCAGCAGCTGACTCCACTCCCTGCGTCCTCGATTCCCTCCAGGACTGGACAATCCGTCCCATACATGGCAGTCGGTGACGTTTCAAAATCACATGCCAGATCTTACACGAGTCACTCTGAAATCTCCAGTAGCGTCCAGGCTTCACACTCTATCCCATCAGCATCTTCTACCACTGTCTTCTCCTCAGCAAACTCCTGGGTCACACCCCAGGAACTTTCGGCCTGCCTGGGGCTTCTCTCTGCCTTGCTGCTCCCTCTACCCAGAATGCCCTTGCGCAGGCTCCAATGTGTTGCATTTCCCCGACACCCATCTGCAGACCCATTTATTGCTCGTTCCATTCCTTAGGTAGATGCTCACTAACCTTCTCTCAAGGAACAAGTGCCTGAGCGAGGGCAGACGTTCTGCGGCAGTAAGGATGTTAGGACCCGGGGTTAGTTAAGGTGGAGATGCCCAGGGGCTCTATCGCTCCCTTGTCCTGTTCTACCCCAGCACGAGGCTTCTGCATATCCAGAAGGGACAGTCCCCACTGCACCACAGAATTATGGTAGAAAGAAGCCCCCTGCCGTGCCTCCTCCCCAGCATCCGAGGACTTCAGTCTCTCACGGGGAGGACCTCACAGGGAGGACGGGGCATTAGAACCAGGCTTACAGTCAAGCCCCACCACTAGCTCTTCTGGGTCTCCAGAGCAAGCTCGTTTACCTCTTCCATCTGGGTGACCCATCTGCCATCTGCGGCACACACCACTTCCCATTCCACCACCGTCCCCCCTGAGCCGTGGGGATGATCAGGTGGAGCATGGCCCACAAGGTACTGGGACACTATGGGGGCCTTTCCAGCTGGTACAGGAACCAATAGCGCTGAGCATCCCAGGTGAGGTGTGCTAGGACAGAGGTCCTGGGTCTGCAGGCAAGTGGCTGGATTCTGACATGGAGAAATGTCAAAGCCTATCTGTGTATGTGCTTGTGCTTGTGCTTGTGTGTGTGTGTGTGTGTGTGTGTGTGTGTGTGTGTGTGTGTGTGTGTGTGACAGAGAGAGGGCAGACAGATAAGAGGGGCAATCCTATCATCAAAAGCAGACTGGCCCCACTATGCAAGGAGGTTACACATTTTTCTAAGGACTAGACTAATCTCAGGTCTTTTAAATTCACACCGCCACCAAGTGTGGTGATTACTGTAATTCCTATTTAGAAACCAGAAGACTGAGGCTCAGGAAGGTGAAGTGCCTGCCCCCAGCCCCTAGATCTTCTGGTCCCAGGGCTCATGCAGGTCCTCAGACCCTAGTGCTGCGCAGTCTCTGGCTGCGCAGACCCCACTGGCCCCCTGTAGAACTCTCTCCCAGGACACGGGATTCAGAGAAATGACTTACCCAAAGTCACTTGTACAGTAAATAGAAGAGTCAGGATCAGAATCCAGCCCCTCTGTCTCCAAAGCAACTGCCAAGACTTCCCTCCTAAGTTGCCCAGGAGCACACTGGGCGGGTAGTGCTCTCAGTGTGCTCTGACGTACTGGCAAGGGGGGCCTGGGAGAGCAGCTTCAAGACTCACAGGGCAGTGAATCACTAAGGCAGCCCGTTCTGGAGACATCCCACATCTCAGGGGAATCAGACCTTAACCCGAAGGAATGTGGTTTTGATGCAGAATGTCGGGGTGGAGGTGGAGCAGGGGTCCCTCCCATCTACCACCCGTGAAGAAGGTCGGCTTCAAGTCTCTCCAAAGAGAGCTGGGGTATCCCCTCCAAAGACAACAGCGGCGCAGTGGAAAGTCCATGTCTGCCTCGGGGAGACCTGAATTCAAACCCTGGTCTGCTTGCTTGGCTGTGTGCTCTTAGGCACGTCCGGGACTTCCTGCCTCTATTTTCCCAGCTGTCAAATGGGAACACCCATCTCAGCCCTTCCTGGGGGAGACGAAGACCTGGGGACCGAGGGAGGATCCAACCCCAGCTCCGGAGGCACTGCTGCTATCTGCCGCCCCTACCTGGCTCAGCGCCGCGGCCGCCGCCGCCGGGCTCCTCCGCAGCACATCGTTCGCGCAGCCGGCGGGGTCCAGCCCGCCGAGGCCCGCGCTGCAGCGCCGCTCCTGCCTGCCGGCCGCGAGGGGGCGGCGCCCGCCCTTTAAATAGCACTGTCCGCCCGGCCACGCCCCTTGGGGGGACTACGAGCCGCGGGGTCCTACCGCCGCCCTTCCAGCGGTGAAACATCTGGGGACGGAGCCTCCATCCCCTCTGCCCAAAAATCGCTGGGCCAAAAAACCCCGAGAGAGAAAGAGAGAGGGAAGGATCACGAAAGAAGCTAGGCCCGGGCCGCCGCACGTGCAGCCGTGGGCCCGCGAGGCCTGGGGTGCAGGGAATCAAAAGTCCGCGGAGGAAATCCTGGCGCCGCTGCACTCGGGCAGAGGCCACCCAGAGGTGACTGACGACCGACAGCTCGGAAGGAAGTGACCCTTCTTTGGCCCTGGGACGGCCCTGAGGGGGTTCCCCGTACCTTGGTTATCCTGTCTTCAAGGCAACTCCAAGCCTGTCAAAGTTCCCAGCTAACTGATGGAGAAACTGAGGCCAGGGCTTGGGTGCGGGTTAACTGAAAATACATGGAAAAACCAACTGGCTGAGACTGGTCAGGTCCCCGTGTACAGTTTGGGGACCTGAGGCTTGGGAAGGTTAAATTGCATATTGAGAGTCTCACGACTTACCCAAAGCTGCTCTTTTTTCCAGGATACTTGGCCCTTCTCGGTCATTAGCACCGTGTGACTGGAAAGACAGGCGTTCCCGGGAGTATAGTGTTGCCACTGTCCTCCAGGCCTGGTTCCTCAGTCACGATGTTCTCCCTGATGGTCACAGCTCTGGGAGCAGGGCCATCCACCCCATCCTAACCAAGCTTTGTGGTGAGCAGGAATGGAGCTGGGCTGGAAGCTGGCCTTCTCCTCCCATCTAGTCCACCATGGAATGGTCCTGGGCAGTGAGGACAGACAGCCCAGAGAGGACAGTCCCTGGGCCAGTGTCCAGGGCCCTGACCTAGCCCGAGGGCAGGCTCATAAGGAGGCAGCCCCTGTTGCTATGAGGCAGCCCTTGTTGCTATGAGGAGGGGAGTCAGTTCCGGTTGCAGGTGAGGGATGCAGCAAGGTCGGAGTTGGCAAGCTTCCTGCTTGCCCACAGCCACCCCAGGAGCCCCCAGAGTCCCGGTTCATCCCTCAGCACTCCTCTGTAGCATCTGTTCAGACTGAACTTCAGCTCCCCTCTGCAAAGTGGGAGGAACGGGACAGGATGAACCGATGTAGACTGGGGCTGGCACCCAGGGGTCTTGAGCGAACGCTCCTCGTCTGCAGCATTAATTAGGTGGAGACCTTTTTCAGGTTCATGTCGAGGGGCTCATGAAGGGGCTGCATGGCTACTCTGCAGCATGAGCAGAACATGAACACAGAGATCCAGGCAGACTGGGGCTCTCCCTGTCTACGCTCCCATTAGGGCCCCATGCTGTCTTATTCTATCAGAGCTGCCCTAGAGCTTGGCTTACGGTGAGGGCAGGGCAAAGCTGGTGCCGTAGCTACAGGATCAGCGGCCAGAGGCTGCGGTTGTGCTTAGGAAGCACATGGGGTTCTGTCTTATCTTGTTCAGTGCCCGGATGGGGCTCCCCAAGAGGTAAGAGATACAGGGGCAGCCAAGCATGCCCACCGCTATAGTGGTCCCTTGGGCCCAAAGACCAAGCTGGGACTCTTCTTCCCCCACCTCCTGCAGCTCTGTCCCTGAGCTGTCATATTGTGTGACCTCGGGAAGGTGGCTTGATTGTTCTGACTTCCCCTTGTTTCTGTAGAGCGAAACAAATGGTAAACCTATGGTTCGGCTGGCAGGGAGACGGCATAAAACAGCCTTGGTTAAGAACTGAGTGAGGAGCCACACACACACACACACACACACACACACACACACACACACACACCACTTCCCAACCCCCCATCCCTGGTGGGCCCTGGGAGGCTAGGAAATAGAATTGTTCAGCATCCTCTCTTGTGGGCAGATGTGAGGCTGAGGAGGGAGACCAAGGACAGTGACTGGTCCAGAGCTCGAGCCTGCAGGGGAGAGAGGCCAGAATCTAAGCAGGGTCTGATTACAAGGCAGTATGGGGGGGGTATTTTATTCTAAGGCTGTGGAGGGCAGCTCTCCATTGTTTCCTTCTGGTACTGCCTGCATCCCCCAGAAACTGGGTGTTTTCAGTGTGGTTCTCAGGTGGCGGGTCAGACACCAGCCTCGGTGATTCTATGGAAATGCTTCCATCTGGACAGAAGGTCCATCTCATCCTGGGCCCTTATCGCTCACCCTCTGAGAATGTGGTTCTCAGACACTAAGCCTTGCTCAAGACTCCTTAGGAGGATTTTGCTCAGGCAGGCTGACATTGAGGACACATGTAGGAGCCAGTGACCCAGAAAGCCAATGCTGTACATATCCCGTGTGACTCTGAGCAAGTTGCTAAACCTCCCTGACTTCCTGTCCTTCTTTACCTAAAGATCAGAATGAGAAGGATCATGACAACATGGATCCCTGATGTTTCCATTGCTCTTTGCCGATCACCTCTGGGCCAGTCCTTCTTATTTGGTATACCAGAGTAAAGATGGCCGCCAACAGCGCTCCAGTCCTGTGTCTTTATTCTCATTTACTAGTAAGCGAGGCTTAGAGAGGTTAAGTAAACTGTCTCAGGTCACACAGCTTGGGGGTCAGCAACTGATCACCGGTTTCCTTCCTGCCCCAGAGGCTAGTGCTCAGCTTTGGCTGTCTTCATTCCGTGCCCCTGCCTAGCACCCATGGGGGCTCCTGGGAGTCAGGGAGTTCCCCATCAGCTGATATTAGGGCCCTGACTGCTGGAGCAGAACGCTGGCTCCCCCAGTTCTTCCCCCGTTTGCTTTCCCTTAAACAGAGGGCACTAAGGGTGCCTGCTGAGGGTCACGGCTCTGACCATGTCTCTTGGAGGGACGAAAAAAAGTACAATCATTGCAGCCGGGGGTCAACTGTACAGAGGAGGGAGTTTGAAGCCAAAGGCCAATGCTGGGGAATGCCAGGGAAACAAACCCACAGAGGGACTAGGTGTGTCGTTTGTACTGGAATCTTTAGTGGAGGGAAGAGGGCGGTGGGATGGGGTCGGGGGAGGGGCCTTCCTGGAGCTCCCCTCTTGGCTGGGCATCATGGCCCCTCTTAGGGACAGGCTTAGGGATTCTGGCCTTAACCATACAACAGGCAGGGCAGGTCGTCTTGAAGCCTGAAGGCCACTGAGCCTGGCTGACCCCAGAGGGAACATGTGGCAGTCAGAGTCATCCATGCAGAGGCCTCCAGGTTCTGAGTCCCCGCAGTGAGTACCTCCAGGCAGTGAGCACCTTGACTGAGGCCCCCTGAGGCTCCCCAGGCCCCCAGGGAGTGGCAAGACGCCAAGTGAAAACTTTTAAGACAAACATGAAACTACACATGTCTTCACAGGGCGTCTGTGCTGAGCTGTGGACCGTGAAACCACAATACTGCGGCCGGGGACTGCTGGGAACTGGGGGGACCCAGCTCACAGGCTTCCCGGTTAACTATTTGAAGGTCAGATCCCATGAGGCCTTGCTCCATCTTAATGGTAGCACAGCATGGCTTTATCCATGGTCCATGAGGCAGCACTAGCGTTGGCAGTGATGGGAACTTGGCTCCATAGGGAGGGCAGGGGAATGGGGCATCCTCAGCTCAGCATCCTCACTGGAGACTCAAGATCATCTTCTGTAGAAGGGAGCCCAATTTCAAGGACGGTGGGGAGCTGATGGCATTAAGGAAAGCTGATGGCGGAGGGTTGGGTTGGTCTGGCTGGTGGTGTCAGCTTCCTCGTGGGAAAGCCTGAGTTCTGTGGGTGACAGGAAGAAGAGTCCCAGCATGGAGGAAGGACCCGGGAGACCTGATTTGGAGGGAACTATAGCTGAGAGGCCTTGCCCCCCAGGCTTCAAGCACCCAGCAGCTGGGAGTGGGGCTGTGGCCTGGCAAAGCTCTCACGCTGGGCACCTTGTCCTGGAAGTTCCCTGAGGCTCCTTGCCGAGATGGAGACCAGACGCCAGGTTCCTGGCTGGGCTGTCTGCAGTCGTCTTCAGGCCCCATCCTCCTCAGACGGCTAGAAGTCCCACACCTGGCAGAGCCTCTGGACTCTGGCTCCCACAAGCCAGGCTGATCACCACAGGTAGGGGGCACCTTCCCACACTTCAGAGAAGGCCACCTGCCTCCTCGCCTTCTAGGTCAGTGAGGTGACCAGAGCCT